GTTTACACATGTTTTCATCATATTTATAACATAAGAGTAAAAAAAATTCTTTGGTTGAAATTCAGCTGAATAATATACAGTATGATAAAAAAAATATTCAATGTTGAAAAGAATCTTGTTTCAATTTTCATCTGTAACGTCTATGTAATATTCTTTGCGAAAACATGTTTTGTAAATGTATAACATACTTTTTCTTATGGCTAATTCATCAATATCAGAAACTTGACACCTGCTTCTGCTCAACTTTTTGCATTTTTTTTAAAGCCTTGTTTAAAATGTTTTAAATAAAACTAAAATTTGCGATAACAGCAATCTAAAAAAAGTTACTGATAATAGTCAAATTTCAATTATTAATACTAAAGCCAGCTTTTAAAAGGTGATATATTTTTACTGCTTCGCACAGGGTATATGCTACATTTCAGATTTTCACATTCATGACAATTCCAAGAATTTTTCATGACTTAACGAAGTTACTATTTTCTCCGACGACAAAAACACAATAAATTTTTTAAAAAAGCATAATAACATTGATTGAAGTGATAGGTATAACCAAAACTGATATACTCTGCATCTTCATATTTATTTTAAATTTAAAAAACAGAGTAAAGAAAGAGTTGAAGCAATAAAATAGTTGAAAAAAATACAAAAGCAAATAATTTTTTTTCCTGCTGAATTATATTCTAAATATACTCTTCTTGTTCATCAGAAAGCAAAGAAATACTCCTAATTCTTCTGTTCTCATTTCGGAATTTAAAAAAAATTCGCCAATGACTGGCTAGCTTCAGCTAAAATTTTAAATTGATTAAAAAAAAAACATTTAAACAAAAATTCTGAAATTAGGGAAGTTTAAAAGATAATTTGCTCTAGAAATGATGTTTCTTGAAACACCATAATTTCTAAAGAAGACGATAAAAACATTTTATATACTATTAATAAAATATGATTGAGTGGAGATTTTGTTACAAATTCAGATATTCGGAACAACGTGAGAGGGGGATAGATTCGATTTTAAAAATTAGATTTTTCGGCAATCGAAATCCATGACTTTTCAGGATTTTTTTAAGAAAATAGTTATAATCATGACATTTCATGACTAATTTTGTTCAATACCGAAATCCATGACTTTCTAGGTGCGCGGATACCCTGGATTTAGTTACTGGTCTTTATAATATCCCAACTTTCCTGATGTTTGAAAATCTTTTCTAATCTCCGCACAGCAACAACAACAACAAAAAGAAGTTTTATTTACAGAGCTATCTTTTTTGCGGATATCATCGCGTGAGCTTAAGAAGAGATATCTTTTCATTTTTTTTTTAATATTTAATAAATTTATTAATTTTTAAAAGCTTTTTAAAATTGTCATCTCTTTCATTAATCTATTATTTTCCATTTTTTCCCTATATTTTCAACTTATATGTTCATATTAGTGAGTTTAGTTAAAGCATACCATTTCCTTTTATACAAAACTGAAGACAAAATCTTATAAAATGGGGGGAAGAATAGTTAAGTCTTACCTGTTGTTCTGACACTCTTAAATCACCGAACACCAATTTCTGAATTATTTTTCCAATAAGAATAAAGCAGCAATACGTTATATTTATCAGAGTCTGAAAAGAAAAGAAAAAAACATCATTTTAGTTTGGCATGAAATAGAAGATACAAATAACTATGACTTAAATCAAATGTATTAACTTAACCAGCGATATAAATCGCGATCTATAATCGTGATTTATTATTCACAAACTTTTAGTTTCTTGCAGTTTCATTACAAACTTTAAGCTTCATTCATTAAAATGACTTCAGTTAAATTATAAGGATCATTTTAAAAGATTTCAGGCGTTTTAAACAAAAGGTAGAATCCATCTAAAAGAAATAAACTGAACCATTTTAGTTTGGCATGAAATAGGAGACACAAATAACTATGATTTAAATCAAATGTATTAATTAACCAGCGATATAAATCGCGATCTATAATAGTGATTTATATCACTGATTCATTATTTACAAATTTTTAGTTTCATGCAGTTTCATTACAAACTATAAGCTTCATTCATTAAAATGACAACAGTTAAATTATAAGGATCATTTTAGAAGATTTCAGGCGTTTTAAACAAAAGGTAGAATCCATCTAAAGAAATAAACTGAACCATTTTAGTTTGGCAAGAAATAGGCGATACAAATAACTATGACTTAAATCAAACGGGAAAAAAAAATGAAAACAATTTTTTTTTTTTTTCTACAGAAATTCACACGTTTAGACAATCACTTCTTAAGGCTTTCAATTTACGCCGATAGTACCGTAAATCCATGTTATGTTTCGATTGTATTTTCGGCAGTTATTGATATTGATTTTCACGTGGATTTTAAATATCCCGATAAATTTCAAACAATCTGGAAAATTCGAATCGTGCATTTGGAGTATTTACTTTTTAAGGCAATAATTCAATCGAATTTTTATAACACTTATTGTTATTGATTTCTCCATAGTTTTCAAATCCGATATTTTTTATACGACATTATTAATTACAATAATCTAATCTCGAAACGAAACAAGCATTTGAGGCATCCGCATCGCGTATTTCGTCGTCGATCTTTTTATCGGAAATTACTACTGCCGATTTCATGATTGATTTTTTTTTTATTATTATTGCGATGATTATTTACCAAAAAAAAAAAACAAAGAANAAACAAAAGGTAGAATCCATCTAAAGAAATAAACTGAACCATTTTAGTTTGGCATGAAATAGGAGATTATTGCGATGATTATTTACAAAAAAAAAACAACAAAGAACAAAATAATTTGAACGTTTCCCCCACCAACACAATGCGAGAATATCACCCTTAATATTCGAATCAAAAACTATTACACGTTCAATTAAAAAAAAATATATATTTTAGTTTTTATTGTAAACATAGCGCTTTTGTTATCTTAAATCAGAAACATACGTTTTTTATTATTAAAAGTATTAGCAGGGGTCTGTCCAGACATTTTGTGAAACGTCCGTTTCTGTAAAACTGAAAAAATTACACATAAATTATGAATATAAAATAAACGTAAAGTCACATTCTTTCAACCAGGGTTCTGCTTTTGTGAATGTGTGCAAATAGGTTCCAGTGATTGCAAAAAAACTTTTTCCAGGAGTTTTAAAATTGTAAAGACATACAAGATAATGCTCATCAACACTGTAAAATTATAATTAAAAAGAATTAAATTTTAAAAAGTAAACAGCAATTGCTGCTACTAAATTAGAGATGCAACATACAAATCTTTGGTATTTAGCCTATACTGCTCAACACAGAATATTCATTTCAGAGGAATAAAGGAAGAAGTGTCTGACGAAGACAAAACTTAGTTCGTTTACACATGTATTTCTTTCCCCCCTTCCTGGGAATGGTTTATTCGACTAACAAAACAATAATGAAGATAAACAAATTTGTGAAGGGTCCGATTAAAAGATAAAAACGGACCCTTCACAATATAATTTAAGTTAAAATATTTTGTGAAGGGTCCGTTTTTATGAAAAGATATTTTGTGAAGCCGTTAACGGACCCAAATTTCTTCTAAACAGACCCCTGATTAGTGATGGGGAGTTTTGTCGCAGATAGCTCGAAAAACTACTGCAACTGGGTAGTTTAGCTATAACCAATCTCAATTAGATTCAATGTTGGAAACATTTTTAGAAGACGAAATTAACACCGCGAAAAAAATTTCCATGCAAAGTGATGATCTGTTGTTCGAATTAAAAATTATATCAATTTAACTATCAATTCGATTCTCGCAGTTAAGCTTAAATTTTATGTATTGAACTTTTGTTCAATTGTAACTATATATATATATTTTTTTTTTAAAAAAATTAGCCGATATACAAGGATTAATATAAAATAGGTGGAGAATAAATTTTTAAATTTTTTTTTAAAATTATTTTACTTCTACGACAGTATATTTTAATTTTCACCAATTCACCACTTTCGGTGCTAAAAATAGTTTAAAATATTTACAAAAATGAAATATTTCACAGAATAGTTTTTTTTTCCCTCTTAAAATCATCAGTTTAAAAAGCATCATTTATATATCATATTAGATGATATTGATGTTAGAAAATATAAGAGTACAAAATAAAAGTAATAAAAAGCAGGAAATGCAAAAAGATCTCTTCTGCAAACTTCAACCTAATCCTTCGATATTAATTTTAGAACAATGTATAATTAATTCATGTATATTTAAATAATTAAATTAAAATTTAATTTATAATATCTAATTTAAGCCTCAATTTTGTGACATAATATTCTCCTTTTTTTTGCTATATTTATTATCTGTTGATATCTGTTATATCTAAGACTATTTCTGTTTGGGAATTTTTTTTCCCAATCTTTCTTACCTCTGCTTTTTTTTCTTGTTGGGAAGAACCCATTAAGATTCTTCACGTCATCATTGTTAGATAGTATGACTATCCAATTCTTCGTTAACTAGTACTAAGGAATTTACTCTGTAACTAAAATTAAAGAGTTTCTCCTATAAAGGCTAAAAATATCTGGCTAACAAAAACATATATATATATATACATACATATATATAAATACATATATACACATACATATGGGTGATTCGCACTGTCCCTTGCTCCAAGATCTAATACTATAATACTAAAAGAACTTTTTTTTAAAACAATTAATAAATTGCATTGCTGTTAGCATTTTAAAATGACTTTGCACTAGCATTGACTGTTTTGTATAGTTAAAAAATTAAATTGAATATCAAAATGTCATTTTCCTGACATGTCCCAAACAATGTTTCCAATAATAACTAGCTTCAAAACTTTCCATAAATTTTTCAATATCTAATTTTTTTTATCTCAACCTGTGTAAGCATTTCTAGAATATACGCAGAGGGTATTATTTACAAAAACTTCGTTTAAAATAATTTTTTCTGTCAATAATTTTTTTGTCCCAAGAAAATCTGTTATTTTTTCTGGCTACTTTTATTTAGTGGTTTATAACCATAAATAGATGGAGCCAGCAATCAATATCTTATGTTAATTGATTGATTAGATACCCTCCAACATGTCTTGTTGCAAGAATAAAAAACCAATTTTCTGGTTCAAAATCTATATCAAAAAGTTTTTCAAGATGAGTAGGTTTTTGTGTTGTCCTTTTCCTGGCTTCTTGAAATCATTAATAACATAAACTACATAGAATTAACTGAGTTATTTTAAGAAATCCTGTTGTTTTATGCAGAATGTAAACGTCTTAGGCCAAAATCTTAAATTAAAGTTATATGCTATAAAATGGCGAATTTGTCATTATCCTGGCTTATGAATGCCAGGACATTGAAGTGTTACCAGAAATTCTTTTTAACTGCTAATACTGTAAGGAGGAAAAGCAAATATTAACCTAATACCAAGTTTATGTATGATTGCAATATGGTTGGATGTAATCAAAGTTATTTTTTATTTATTTAATGATTGATTATTAAACACAATTTTATTCTGTACACATCAGCAACAAAAATTTTTTTGTTTCCTTCTACAGTGGATAAAAAGAATTAATTTAAGCAATTTATGTTCCATCTAACATAAAGGCTTAAGTTTAGTTACTTACTATTAACTTAAAATGACTGTTTTTTAAACTTCTAAGGTAATATGTCATTTTCCTGGCATTCAAGATTTGGTGAATTTCTATTTTATTTTTTTCCTCGAGCAAATGTCAATAAACTACACTGCTGTCTGTAAGATATTAATAAATGTAACTAAAGAAGTATACAAAAAATTTTTTTTAGATTATTTTGAACACTTTAAAGAAATTTTTTGGTCCGAATTGTCATGTTTAAAAAGAATCACCTACATCAGAGAGTTGCTGATTTTTGATAAGAATAGTTTTACGGGCTTTCCATTGATTTTGCAAGGTTATTACTAACCTGTTACGGATATTTTAATTTAATTTTGCTGAGTCTATATGTGGTCGTCATATAAAAGTGTTTTTATAAGAAAGAACAGTTTCTTTAATGTAGCTTGATTCGCCACACTCCCTTCATGCAATCTTAGAAAGGAGACTTGTCAACATTGCAGTCTCACGAAGAAAAAAGGGATATGTTGCGTAAAAAGTTAAATTTCTTTTAAAACTCCATATTTTTTTCAGTGAAATAAAGATGTCATAAAAATATATCTCCCCCCCCCCCCAAAAAAAATTTTAAAACTCATGTTCAGCAAATAAACTTATATCATAAACGTGCTGCTCTTATTACGTACATTTATTAAGTCTTATTACGTTAATAAACTACATGCAATTCGTCTTACATTTTTAAGAAATAAACATAACTATAGTTTATGGCAGCGTTTCCGAAACTTATGACTTTTTTTGTACCCAGGGGTCTGTCTAGGTTTTTCTGAACGGCACCTATTTTGTGAAAATTTAACATAATTTTTGAAAATTATATTAAAAAATCAACACAAAAATATGGATTTATTGTTTCCTAAGGGATCCAAAAATAAAATTTTAAGAAAAAGCATTTTGTGAAATTACCGTCTTTCCTAAAGTTGAATATGTGAAACTACCGTTTTTCCTGAAGCTGAATTTGTGAAGGTACCGCTAAACGGTAGTAAATTCGGTC